TTTATGGATATATTCTGAGAGCCCACATCAAGTGTCAATAGCAAAATGTGAACAGATTCTCAATATGTCTGCGAATAAAGAAGATATAGGCAAAAAAATAATTTGGGATTTTTTGGTTTTTCCTGTATATCTCCAGAACCAAAAAAGCTACATTCATTGAATAGGTCTCTAAAATACGCAACTTCGCCATAATTCAACCGACACTCTATCTCTTATCGTTTACGAGATCCCCATGTACAGAAACGAATTTGAATAGCCCTGTATAAAGCACAAATTCAGTAAAATTCGGTCAGTATAAACGCTTGAGGAAGCTATTGCATAGCGAAACACGTGTTGCGGTTTTCTATACTTTCCGGAGAAAATCCCACAATGAAGTGTTACTTGAATGAGTTATCAATTTTCATTAAGTATCTTCCAATTACATTACACGCCTCGAAAATAATAGTTTGATTCCCATTCCTAAGGAAAGATGGCGTCTTTCTGAGGAAAGATGTCAATGCGTTACGTTTCGCCTCTGGTTTTCATACATCTCATTGGTAATGAAAAAACGTAAGTGGTCATTATTTATTACATCGAAACTAACAGACAGAAAACGAGGACATTGTGTGAGTTCATTCTCAAATATTAAAATACCAACTTCACCTAATTCTAACATTGAAGTTGACTTTACTTTCGACAGCACATACTTCCTATTACACTCTGTTTGCCAGCCTCGGTATTTTATGGTTAGAGTGTGACTCTGTGTTATGGAATCCAGTTTACGACTACCAAAAAACCATCAATTGAAAGCGTGCAAAGGAAGTTCCTAAAATACTTATGCCTGTAAGTTGATGGACAAGACCCCACGAGAGGCATCGATCATAACATTTTGTTGATACGATTTGATATGACATCTTTTGAAAATAGGAGAGTTACCCTTGATATAAAATTCCTGAATTCAATTACTCAACAACAATATTGACAGTACGGTTCTTTTACCCGAGATCGATTTCTTAGTACCAAGAAGTGAATGTCGACACAATCTGAAATTTTATTGCGAAGCATCTCGCACAAATGTTATGCTACGATTCCCATTGCATTTTATGTGCAGTAGCTTCAATAAAATCTGTGAACATTGCGGTATTCATTTCGACTCTCTGAACGCTTTGGTATCATGTATCCACAATCAATTTTGATAATACTATAAATAAAATTTGTGTCAGTACTGCTACATTGCACGATTTGTAACTTTTTGTGTTATATACTAAATTTTTCATTCCTCTTTTGAAATTCTACGTATACGAATACTTTATTTATATTTTGTTTTAGCATTTACTTTCATTCATTTCTATATTCCATTATTTTTAATATTTATTTCATATACACTCTGTAATAATAGCATTTCCTGTAACTGGGTACTCATGTTGGAAATAAATCTTTTTTTGGGAGGAGGGGGTGAAACCGCAGAAGTTTCTGTATAAGTCTGTCTTGCTTCTGAAGCAAATATTCCTTACCTGCACCTGAGCTACCACGGCTAGGTAATTAGGGTCAAAAACAAATGAACTTTGCATCAGAACTGATCCAATTTTGATAGCCAATTTGGATCATGTGAAAAAAACTTACATTTGATAAATGGCCTCTTCATTGTCAGAACTATTCAAAAAAGCTTTTTTCAATGACTTTTCCCGATATTTTGAGAAATAAATCAATTTTTGTATTTGTTACGAAGAATTGATGTTGACACAAGGTAAACCTGAAATCTCTGAAATGCGAAAGCAGTTTTCCCGATCATAAGAAATTAAATTTGATAGATGATGCAAATCGCGTGTGAATAATTTATTTGTTCATTTTCCAAGTCCAAGCAGAAATCGATATAACAATCAAATTTTGAATAGATTTATTAAGAAAATATCATGTCATTCGCACTTTTACTGGTTCCACTGTGTGAATATTACTTATCACTCAGGTAGTATTAGTACTGGGGAAAGTGAATAATAATAGCATATTTTGCATCATTGAATACAAAATTGTCTCTTCGCAGATTGTGAAATAAAAAACGACTATTTACGTGTTCGAAGAGATTACAAACAACCTTGAGGAACTAAAAAGTCAATAGAAAGCTAGAAAGTTAAACCACGTTTCCGAATTCGTTCTTGGAGAGTATTCGAATCATTTTTTCAAAATCAATTTAATCAGAAATATTCAACAAACAATAGTATTGTCTTTTTTTAAGATAATAAAATAATGATGAAAAATCTTTCAAAACAAGCTTTTATTTAAGTGCCCTAAAAAGATCAAAATGAAATTTCAAACTACTAAACTACAATGTTTGTAATTGAATAAAAGTGCCGTGAGTACTCAAAATGTGAAACTTCAACCTTGAATAACTTTTTTGCATACATAGGATTTATCGGGTTTGAAATTTAAAATTTTATTTAAATTTCATCTGACTGAATATGTAGAGATTTCTTCTAAGCATCGCGAGAAGCTTTTATTATGATTTCAATTCTGTAAAGTCATAAATGAATGTGGTTAATGTGATTTGAAATTTTATTTTGATCTTTTAAGGGCACTTAAATGAAATCTAGTTTTAAAAAATTTTATCATTATTTTATTTCACATTTTTTAGTTTCAATCGATATTTATCGATCAATACGACAGTCCATCTATAAAACGGATAGTCCTCCAACAGAAAAACTTAAGGAACAGGGAAAACTATTATTAGGATAAACTATATTTTATAGAATATGGTAGGTACCTACTCCTCCGGCATACCTAATAAAAGAATTATTTTGTTATATTTCTTAGTCTTTTCATTTCATTGATTCATCATTATTACATGACCGAGTCCCAGTTAATTTCAAACAGTCTAATTCTTCTATCAGGAGGCCTTCAATTGATGTGACCCTACTTAAAACCACGTACGCTTGCCGAAGTCGATACGGACTGATGGAATGTCCGTGTCATACATTTGTGCTCTCCGGAAACAGGGCCATATAATTTTCTATAATATGTCCGATGACATCATTCACTAGGCCCTTTTTTGGTACCTTGGGAGCTGTCTGACTTGTCCATTTAATCCAAGTCTACAGAAAACCCTGCAGCCTCTTGAACTTATTGAGTTTATTCTCCCATCTTCTCATGACACCCATTCCATCAGTCTCGTTCCCTATACTAGTTTGTACAGGTTCCGTGTTGGATGTTCGTCATATTCTTCTAGACGTAATTTCGTACGTACATATATTGCCTGCCTCCTGTGATTCAGTGCCTAACATTCGCATAAGATGTGTAGAACTGTTTCTATCCCTTCGTTGCATAATCTGCAGCTGAGGTCTCCGTTAAACAGCCCTTTTTCATTCAGGTGTCTTCTAAGCGGACAATGACCGGTTAGTAACCTTGTATTTATTCTGAGCCGATCCCTACTATATTAAAGTAGTTCTTCGGTTCTTTTCTCGGACGGTTCCCTAATGAAGGTTCTACTGTGTTTGTTACCATCAGGTACTTTTGTCCAGTATTCTGTGTACTTCTTATTGGTCCATGTGCTAATCTGGTTTCGTATCAATGATTTTGGTACCCCCAGTGCCTGTTCAGGACCTATATATGAAGTTGATGATTTGCGTCTAGCGCATTCATCAGCTTTATCATTACCTGTGATTCCTGAATACCCTGACACCCAGTACAAAGTTAATTTGTTTCTGTTTGCAAGTTCATTCAGTTCTTCATGGCATTCCCAGACCAGTTTTGATGTCACTTTCCGGTTTGTCAGAGCCCCTAGTGCGCTCTTGCTGTCTGTAAAAATATTGATCCGCTCATTTCTTTGAGGACTCAATTTATTAAGCCTTGCACACTGCAATACAGCATACACTTCCGCCTGAAAGACGGATGTGTATAGTCCTAGCGGATAGCTCACTAGACCCTTAGACACATCAACATTGTATCGTAACATCACCTTGGCCCCCCACAAATATTTCCAACTCTCTAGGCAACCCCCAGTCTTGTTTATAGAGATGGTATAATGATATAATATTATTTGAATCTATATTATCATTTTGTCTGGTACAATCTATTTTGTGCAATTATTTTATTACAATGCAAATAAATATGGGTTATTACAACCTACTACACCATTTATTGTCTTCTTTTTAGAGTCGAGGGGGGGTAGGTATTTGAACGTAAAAGCTTGACTTAATATTTTTTCTAGAAATACATTTTTTCATGTGGCATCTATTTCATAGTGGGCCTACCAACTACCTATCATAAACGAATGCGTATCCTGTACTATTTACAGGAGATCTTTCGTACGGAGCCGATCCTGGCAGCAGTATCAGGTCACGTTTATGATTGTCATGCATTGTCATCGATTCTGAACCAGCATGCAAAATTTCAGGTCAATCGGATACCGGGAAGTGGGTCAAATTACACTTGCAATATTTTTTAACATGCATACAACTCAAGTTAAATGAAAGCTTTTAAAGAAGTTCTTCCATTTGGAAACTGTAGTTTGTAGAATAAACTTCCCCACGCCATTTTCCAGTGAAAAAATCTTCAACAATTCAATTTCAACTTAGATTGTCCTTTTCGCCCGTTCCTCAAAACATTTTCATGACTTCTATCTTATTCTTGTTCACCTTCATAACAAAACAGGAAGATAAATCTTCAGAATCAATACATTTTCACACAGATGGCTCAACGAATTCTAATGTGTTACCAATACAAAAATTATCAGTAATTAATTTATCAAACATATTTTGTTCACAAATGTTGCGATAGTTGCGATATTAATTTGCAACATAAATATTTTTCACTTATGGATCACTGAATATCAGTTTCTTTCGGTTTGCGCAAATTGAGCATAATTTTTCTTCATCAGCTAATGAAAAGTGCATACATAACAAATGCTGACATCAAAAAATCTCATTGCCTTTGAATTGCTGGCAAAAATTATTGATAACCTCTGATTATTGAAAGTACTATTTCTTCTGATTAACAACATATCTGCATAAATATAAACTTCGTCAAATTATTATTCGCATAGTAACTGATAGTTCCAAGAGCCAGAAGATGACTCATTTGAAGCGTCCAGTATTGTTACTTTTAGCGATCTTTTCAAGTTTCGGGGTAGGAAATGGTAAGTACATTTGTTTATCGATCATATTCGTTGAATAACTGAGAAATTTGTGATAGTTTAAATATAGCTTCAATAATATCATGATTATAAGTCACATGAGTTGAAAATGCAAGTTTTTGTGAACGTGTGGATGTGGATGATCTAATGGAAATTCAGATTGAAAATCAAAATTTAACATCATCAGGTATTACAAAAAACGAAGATGAGCTTCTATTGAAAACACTTCAACCAAAAGCGCCATGAGAGACAGTATTTTGTTCTGGTGAAAAAAGTGTATTTCACACCAGAAGTTCCAATTTCACCTATTAAGAACGGTGAGCTTGCAAAATGTATCACGTTTTTCGTAAAAGTCAAAAGTGTAACCTAGTTTCATTCTAATCTAAAATGTTTACTATACTCTGGAATATCATTGCTACAAAAAGTTAGATTTCAATTCAGACATATTGTTCAAAATCATCTCAGGATTCATAGTATTTGACGCTGTGAAGGTTTTTAACAAGCTTCACTTAAACAAACAGATCGATATTGAAAATTTTTGAAACGAAAATCTATCGAATACAGACATATACAATGGTTAAGGATCTCGCAGGCGAAGTTTCTTCCTGGCTAGAAGTTTATACATCCTGATTAACATCTCCGATGACTGGGTATTTCGGCTGCGTAAGGCGTATTTATGTTGACTCTTCAGGTAGTTTGGTGTGCTGTATCTGTATCAGGCTTCGGTAAATTACATGAAGCGTGTTTATATTGATTCACGTAGTCTGGTGTGTTAATACCTGTACATGGATTTGGTGAATTGGTAAAAAGTTATTGACAATTTACCAAATTCAGGTGCAGGTAGCATCACACCAGACTACATCTAGGTAAACACGCTTTACTTATTTTATCGAAGCCAGATACAGGTGTAGGCACATTAAACTATCTGATGAGTCAACATAAATACGCGTTATGCAGCCGTGATATCAGTCATCGGAGATATCAACTCAGGATGTGTAAACCTCTGAGGAAGTTAGCCATTCGCGATAGCGAAACGTTAGGAGAAGAATCCAAAAATCCACGGCCTTCAACACGGAATATCTTGAGCGATTGTCAATATGGCTTTCGGAAACAAAGATCAACAGGTGACCTTCTATCGTATGTCACCCATATTTGGTAAGGCTCTCCAGCTTCCTGAAAAAACGTTCCCTGCAAGTGTCCGTTGATGGATATCTCTCGAATACTTTTACCATCAACGCTGGTGTTCCCCAGGAATCCATATTGTCTCCAACCCTCTTGTTATTGTATATAAACGACTTACTGGAAAAAAACAAGAATCCAATATATTGCTGTGCTGACGAAAGCATACTTGTCTCGTTATTCCATTTGGATTCCAGAACATCGGCTGCGGATGCACATTTTCAACGGTAGCAGAAGTTTGCAAATCTAAATGTGGATCTAGGAGTGATTTCGAATCGGGCATCGGTTTTCTCCAAAAAGATAAATGTCTCCGAACCGAATATAATAATGTTAGTACAGACAACTCCGCTTTATACTTCGATAAGTTTGTTGGGGAGTTAACATGGACTCCAATATGTCTTGGCACAATCATGTCGCTGGGATTGCGAGGGCTGCTTCTCAAAAGCTTGGAACACTGTTCCGAACCAAAAAACTGTACACACCTCAGCAACCTTTGACGCTTTATAAAGCTCAAATCAGACCTTATTTGGAGTATTGTTCTCATGTATTGAGTTCCGCCCCTAAGCATACCCTGAAGCTACTGGATTCCATCCAGAAACGAGCCATCCGCCGGATTGGAGGCGCGAACATCACTTGCGGTACATATCAGAAATACGCGACGAACTGTGGCTGCTAATCTTTTTGAAGTTGAACTCAGTACACCACGAACTTCCCTGTTTCAGAGCTCTTTCACTTAGAGAACTGCGTTTATGTGGAATGAACTTCCTGAGAACGTTTTTCTGAATGGATTCCGAATTGTATCACTTTCGCACAGGCACCGCCCTTAGAGTGCTTTGAGAATTTTCCTGTTCTTGTGTTTCATCCTCAAAAAAAATTGTGATACTGACAGGCATATAATATCTCATATTTTCACAAAAAAAAGGTTTATGGAGGAAGCCGGTATAATAGATTTCTTGTCGATGCAGGTGATTCTGATTCTATGTATCTTTGGAGAAAAATCATATTCAGATTCAAATGACATCAATGGTGTACATTTTATATGAATTTTCCGCAGATATGCTAAGGTTCGTCCGCCTGATCCTCTTACCGATCATCATAGTTTTTTTTTTACTTTCTACAAACAAATAACCTTTCTCATAAGATCAACACAATGTTTTCTCCGATTCGAAAGTGTGGTTAAATGATATGGAGGTTGTATAATAATCCATATGTTAGAGTTTGGCGTTCTAGTTCGAAGTATTGTATCCAACAAATGAAAGTAAAGGACCTGTAAAAAATCCAACTTTTACTTTTCATCAAGAAGCTGAAGAATAAGAACAATCAAAAATTCACAGTGAGTCAAAATTAACTTCATTTATGTGTGTCTGTGTGTTGATACGCAAGAATTTGCAAATTGGAATTTATGCATAGATTTTGTTTCGTAGATAAGAAGAAAAAAGAAATTTTTGGAGTTTTCTGTTTGTTATATTTTTCATCTGCAAAACTTTTTCAAATTCAGTTCCGTACTATGCTCGAAAAACTTTCACTGTTTATAGAATTTTTAAACAGGATGCCGTCCGACTGTCAATTTTGAAATTACAAATGAGAACATATATTTTTTAGTCAATTTTTTTATCGTTACATTCAAATACTATCAAGGAGTCAAATCAACTCAGTTTTGATACGTTGACAATCATCAAGTGGGTGGATAATTTTTTTATTAAGACCAGGATATTCGCTTAAATGGAAGTGATACTCACACAGGCCAACGATGAAAAACTTTTTTACTTAAAACACCATATTATTCTGTTTTTTAGGGTGCTTAATCCAAATATGACACTTATTCAGCCGTATCACCTACCATTTTTTTCACATTTGCACATCAATATATTACATTTTTTGATTCATTACATAATTTAACAGCTTTTATATACTCCAAATAAAATTGTTAAATAATTTGTGCTGAATGTAGAAGAGTTGGCAGCACTGCTGAAACACATTCATTGTCCAGATCAAGGGAAATTATATTGTTCTGTTCACAGCTGATGTTTTGTTTACTGTCAACCTAACCTTACTTTCTGGTTTATAGTACATATGCTCATTAAAATGTCTAATCGCGGTTGTTATTAAAAAAACATCAAAGAAACATTACAGACTTTGTGAAAAGGTTTATTTCTCATATTTTGGAATTGAACTTGGTGATCAGGGTAAATCTTGGGCCCGCATAAGGTATGTTATGTTTGTGTTGAAGATCGAAAATGGTCAAAAAATGAGAAAAAAGCCTTTAAGTACGCTGTTCCCATAGTATGGAGGGAACCTAGAAACCACATCCATGATTGCTACTTTTGCAGTATTGATATTACTGGCCATAACACAAAAAACAAGGAGGTATTACGCTTCTCTAACCTAATTTCCGCCATCCGACCAGTAGGGCACGATGTAGATTTGCCGGTCCCAGAACCTCCAGATGATTTGAAATATTTTCTGATGTACTGTCAGATACAGATGAGCAAGATGATGAAGAGTTCCAATGTTCCAAATAGTTCCAAATATAGAGCCTAAACTGTTTACTCAGATTGAGCTTAACGACTACTTAGTTAGGGATCTTGGGTTAACAAAAAAAAAGCTGAATAAAAGAAAAACATTTGTTGGCAGTTGGAACTAGCATATATGTATATAGGAAGAGAGAGCAGCAGTTTTTGGAATTTTTTTAACAAAAAGGTGATTTAGTGTACTGCTCAGATATTCCAGGACTGATCAAAGAATTTGGTTTCAATACAAAAAAGAAGACTGGAGGCTATTTACTGATTCTTTCAAAACTAGTTTGAAAGCTGTTTTATTACACAATAGTAACACTTATGCATCGATTTCTGTTAGCCATTCTGTACATATGGAAGAGACCTATGAAAACCTAGAAACAGTGTTGAATAAAATTAGCTATTTGGCTCATGGTTGGATGATATGTGGTGACTTGAAAGTACAATGTATGTTTCTTGGTCAGCAAGGTGACTTACCAAATTTCCATGTTTTTGTGTGAATGGAACAGTAGAGCAAGGGATCAACATTAGTGCAGAACTGGCCTGTGAGAGAGTCTTTAAAACCCGGCGAGAAAAACATTCTTCGCAAAATCCTTGTAGATCCTAGAAATATTCTCTAACTACCTCTGCATATAAAGTTAGGCCTCATGAAACAGTTTGTAAAGGCATTGCCCAAAGATGGACCTTGTTTCAAGTATCTCTGTCAGAAATTTCCAAACCTTTCAGAGGCTAAACTTGAAGAAGACATCTTTGTAGGACCCGACATTCGAAAAACGATGTTCGACGTAAACTTTGAAACCACAATAACCATACATGAGCATAGGTATCATTCAAGCAAGTTGTTACGAAATTCTTAGGAAATGCAAAAGATCCAGAATATCGTACCATTGCAGCTAGCAATTTTAGGAAACTAGGATGTTCGATAGGTCTGAAAGTCCACTTCTTGAACAGTCATCTTGATTACTTCCCGGAAAATTTGGGAGATTCTAGTGAGGAGAGCAGGGTGAGCGTTTTCACCAAGATATTAAATTGATGGAAAAACGTTACCAGGGCCGCTGGAACATCAACATGATGGGAGACTACTGTAAGTCACTTCACCGTGAAGCTCAACAAGCGACTCATCGCAGGAAAATCTACACAAGAAACTTCAAAGAAAACAGAGAAAGGAAGTATAAACCAATTCCATCTGACTAGTGAAACCTACATTACAACACTGTATCATTATTTCAAGTAACTTACTGTAAATAAAAATCATGATAGTGATTCAATATAGTGTGTCATTAATTTTACCATATACCGTACAGATTTTAAATTATATAAAAAAGTCAATTTCTCAAAACCTATTGGTGATATAAAAAAACTGAGACCAGATTTGGATTGAGCACACAAAAATCTATAAAAATCAGCTATTAAAGTAAACAAAGTTTTCAAAAACATTTTTTTTGATGGCCTGTGTTATCTTTATTGTATACCACAGCTCATTTTCGAAAATGTGTTCAACAGTGTTCTCTCATTTGCATGAATGAAGCAACCAACGTACTTGAAATACTTTGATATCATCATACCCTTTCAATTTTAAATTTCGATTTCTTCACATCGTACAACACCAAAAAGTTCACAAAAATTTCTGCACCATGAATTGTTTCAAAATTCCAAACAAAAAACTACCCTGAGAAGACTGAAATTTTCAACATTCAATTCATTTGGTTAAATCGCAGATCATTTGGAAAAATATTTCTGAATCCGAAATTTATTGTAAAGGATCACTAGTTTCAATTTGTTGGCGTAATCGTGGAATACCCTACATGGGGATTTTTTATTGCTTCACTCCAGATTTGTGCAGTTCAAAATGATACAAAAATGTTCAATTTTTTATCAAGTGGGGAATCTTAATATCCTTAGAGAGATTAAATTTCACTAAGAGAATCCGAATCTCCACCTAATAATATCGAGAGTGAATCCAATATTTCCAAAGTCCCGCTAAGTAGTGGGTTCAATACAATAATTGTCAAAAAATTAAAAATTACCCAAATCATTGATAAGGCCACCATTGAATATTCAACACTCCTTTAAGAGTTAATTATTCCATTATACATGAAATGTAGGCAAATGAGAAATTTACAACTCAATGGTCATTTCATATTTTGAAAATTGTCAATTCCACATTCAGGGACATACACATTTTGTAGTTCAAATCGAAAGGATTATATTTTTAGAAGTGAATTATTTTTGAGGAATCACACGTTAAAAGGTAAGACCTCGTTAGTCCTCAGCTCGCACAAGTTTCCCAACTTCTGAGAGTTGTCGTATGGGGACGAAAGCTGATTAACGGAAAGACAGAGTTTTAAACAGATTTTTTAATACAGCAAGTTTTTGGCTTTCTACTATTCCATCTTGATACAAAAAAATGTGCAAATTTCCCAAAGAAAGAAAGGAATCAATCAGTTTCAAAAGGAATAACTCTGTACATGTGTAGATCATGCAAAGAAGTAACTTTCAGACACAAACTGGAAGAGAAAGCCCCCCTGAAACAGCTACTTTCATATAAATATTTAATTGAATTCGGAAATGTAGGACTGCGATGAGAATTCAATATTTCATTTTTTTTTCATTTGGTTCGTTGCTCAACATTGATTTTGAATTCTTCAAAATCTACCTTATGAGAAAGTTAAACTGAATTTTCAATTTCTCAAACTTTCAGGTAAACCAAGAACTACCCTCAATACAGAAAATTTCTTTCTGGGAACTGTGAAGGTGAATATTATTCGATGTGATTTGAAATAAGTTTTCAAGGTAATATAACTTTGCAGGTATCTCGTAACGATGCAGTTCAACTTTGCCGGGAGAGATCGATGGAACTCGTGAGCATTCAAGATTCCGAAAAGAACCATGCTGTTTTTGAGTTGTTGCAGGACAAAGGTGAGTAACAAACTGTGAAAAGTTCTATAATCCACAAAAGACTATGAGTTAAGAATCAACAAAAACATGTATTCCTTCATCTTCAGGTATCCCTTACATGAATTGTATCCATAGTGGGAGAATTTAATAAAAAAAGTGTTCTATATCACTGATGAACAAGACAATATTACTAATTGAATTATGTTATAAAGAGAATTATTGCCATACATTCTTTCGGAAATTGTGTATTATATCTGAAAGGGACTACTTTGGAGGAGAGAAAATGGAAATTATCGAATAAATGAGTATTTTTTGGTAAAAATGCAAATCCACCTAATTTTTTTAACAGACAGAATAATATTTGGGATCGCCATTCTGTCAAGATACGTCGTACCTTCTGTCGAGATGTCTGAAAATTTCATGAATTTAGTTATTCACTAAACGACAGTTTTCTCTGCTGATGACTTCCAACTGGGTGAAGTTAATACCATCACCAAGTGGCCACTCCAAGTTTGACTACGAGCAGAAGCTTATGCTGGCTGTAGCTTTTCTGATGGCGTGTATGGCAATTCTTCATCCAGATCGCCCATATACTGAAAAGCTATTTTTGCTTTTCAAATGCCTATATATAGTGAAGAAAGGATTCATAGGGATACTCGCGTTTTTATGTTTTTGAGAATATTCTGGCAGATTTCATGTATGGTTTCTTGTGATTCGCAATCTTATGCTGAATACGAGTATTTACATCTACATCATCCCAAAGTTGATAATACAGCACAAACAAAAGTTTTTATTTCCATGGTCATGCCAGTCATTCCTAATCATGTATGGACGATTGTCTTGCTACAGCCGGATATTCAAATTTTGCAAAATATCGAACGCCATTCGGCGAGTCATATGGGTACACTGTTGAGGATTTTCACGACAAAATTGATATATTGAATTGAAAGGAAAATATATTGGGAGAGATTAGTTTTTGGAGAAAAAAAAAGCCTTTATAGCTTCTACGTCTCCATCTTTGAACAGAAAAATTGTGGTGAAACTTCCGAAGGAAATGAGAAAACAATTAGGCTCACAATAAACTCTTGACAAAAAAGTTTAGATCATGCATAGGAGTTACGTTCAGATACAAACTGGAAAAAAACCCCGAAACAATTATATATTTTCACATGAACATTGAAAAACAAACAGCTACTGTCATGTCAACTTTGAATTATGCGAAAATTACTTTTTCCTATGTAGTTTGTACTTGAATTATTCGTTACGAAAGTGAATCATATATCAATCATAGAAACGGTACACAATATTATATAAGAAATTTCAAAACCCCTTTGTTTGACGGAGGTTCACAATGTTTCATGGTGCATTTCATTAGTTCTAAGAATGGCAATTCGTTGTGGACTTCCTTCTCTATTGTGGAAGTGATGAAAGGACTCACGTTGTTGATGTGCTTCAGGAAGGTGTCTAGTTCTGGATTCCCATGGTTCCATATTATGAAGGTGTCGTCCACGTATCTCAACCAGACTCGGGGTTTCTTGTGAGCTTCTTCAATGGCCAGAGTTTCAAACCACTCCATATATATTTTGGCTATAACAGTGACAGTGGCTATCCCATTGGCAGTTCTTCATCTTGCGTAAAGAATTCGTCCTTCAGTTGGAAGTAATTCTATCGATAAGTTCGTTCTATGTTCCAGGTCCCAATCTGCGGATATCTTCTCTGTATGATTTGAAGTGCTTCTTTAAAAAGAACGTTGGTGAATAGGAATTTCACGTCGAATCTGATGAGTTAATCTGGCTCTTTGACTTTGATTGCCCCTAGTAGATCGACAAAATTCCTTGAATTCTTCACAAAAGATGATGTTTTTCCTTGCAGTGGTTTCATTATTGGTAGCTAAAATCTGGACAATTTCTAAGTAGTTGAATCTCTGGAGATAATGATAGGTCTGAGCGAAACATCTTTCTTGTGGATTTTGGGTAGTCAACTAATGAAATTCAAAACCCTATTTGGGAAGATCCTACATAACTATGGTTTGTCAAAAAATATAAGCTGAACTAAGGTCTAGAGTTTCCAAAACCTTGCATGAATATGAACCAATTTTTTCTCTATCTGCAAAAATAATTATAATGATAGTAAAGAATTTCTGATGAATGAAGTTACAGAAAATTGTTAATTGTCGGTCTTTTAGGCTATGAGAAAGTCGAACAGTTCTCACTTATTCAACTAGTGATTAGGAAAATATATTGTTTTATTCAGAATACATCTGTTAATAGTGATATAGTTGTTACTGTATGTTATCTGGAAGATAAGGGTAGATTATGAAGTAATTGAAATACAGGTTTTTGGTTTTCTACTTCTCCATTTTTATACAGTTACTATCTGAGAATAACTTTTATGGATGATCCACGAATCTTTTGAAAAGTTTATTTCGACCTCATCTGATCCCTTTTTCCGTTCGAAAAAAAGTAGCCACCACTTTTTCTCTTCCAAAAATATACCCCTTTCATTCCAATTGAAATATTTCATTTGAATTGACTTCAAAACGAATCGTTGAAGACAACAGTAAAAATATGATCACTGCTAATGCAAAGGAATCATATAAATCGACTGGAGTGATGTTCGCCCTTTTATCATGAAATAGTTCATTTAAATATAAGTTTGATTATTCATTATTATAACTCCACCAAATATAAATTAAACTACACCTGAAGTGTTTCTTTCAAATAAAAAATATCATCGAAATCAGTATACGTTGGAATTATTTATCGTTGAACAAAGGAATATTTTAGCGAATTGAGGTACTCCTCCCTTTTTTGAAGTTGGTTAAAAACATCAATATACAAAAGACTACTGAATATGGGATGATATTCAGTCAGATGATAATTTGGCTAACGATACTGTCTATATCTCAATAAGCACAGTATTCATAAATAAATAATCTACCTTGAAATGTTCTTACTAACCATTTGTTGCAGATTATAGTCATCCCGTTTGGACATCCGGAAATAAAAATTCTGACGGATCAACCTGGACCTGGTTGAATGGTGAGAAGTTCACATATTTCAACTGGGGTCCGGGAGAACCTAATTCGGCTAGAGGAAATGAAAGTTGCTTGGAAGTTTTTAAAAAGCAATTCGATGTTCTGTGGAACGATCAACCCTGTGAAGATAAACGTGCTTATGTTTGCGAAAAAATACAAAACAAATGTGATACGAAACTGGTCAGTGTTAGCGTGAATAAAAAAATGTGTTCTATAAGCACGTCAGAACCAAGCACACCACCAAAGAAATTCTATCTCAGTACTCAGAAGGTAAGATGAAAGATAAAAAATAATTACATGATTTGTTATTTTTACTCATATGCGAATAACTTCAAAAAATTCTACTTGTTTGACATTGATTTCTGTTTTGCTTGAGATTTCGAATAATCAGAAATATAGTCACATGATTTACATAATATGTCAAATTTTCATGTTCATTCAAATGGAGGTTATTGTTGAAATTGTTAATAGAAATTTTTTTTTTTCTGAATTTGATGTCCATAGACCAAATTTCAGTAGCATAAGAAGATTCAGATTTTTTCCCTTTTCTGTAAACTATGCCTCTGTTTATGTAAACTACATAAAACATTTCAGTTTCGACTATGTTTTATTCCAGACACAATATATATGATGCAATGTTTATTTGTTTTCGATCATGTGTAACGTAACTGCCTGCCCCGCCGAGAACTGAATCAGGTTTTTAGAGTTCGGCAGAGCCGTACTCTTTCCATACACCACTCGCCATACAAACTGATCGGCTTCGTTAAGTAGCTGGGTTCATTTGGTCAAATGTACATAGGTGTGAGCCACAATAAACCCTTGCGGGTTGCGGTGGAGGGTCGAATAGACCCACTCACTTTGGACCTAACCTAACCTAACTTCAATATCTGGTTTTTAAACGAAGTTTGTGACTCAAAAGTTAGATGTATTTTGATCGAAACGATCGAGAGCAGAGTGTCATTAGTGAAGTATATAATGAGTGTACAATGAAATGAAAAAAATATTTCAGTGAAAAATTTGACTCTAATGAAATATTTCAAAAAAATATAACGATCGAGAGCAGAGTGTCATTAGTAAATTATATAATGAGTGTACAATGAAATGAAAAAATATTTCACTGAAAAATTTGACTCTAATGAAATATTTCCAGTTTCACATGCGTGAAACGATTGAACATAAAGTACAATTTCAAAAATAGACATTTCACGAACTCAGCTAATGAATGGGTTGAAAATAAATTAACTCTGCAAACAATTTTTTCTTGATATTCTAGATATTCTGAATAATAATCGTATTTTTGGAATCGAGAAAATCAGAATTTGGTTATTTCTCTACTGAATCGAAACAGAAATGTATGCCAAAGTCAAATTTCGAATGAAGCTATCAATGAAAAAATCACATTTGATGTGGACTTTATTGATCACACTAAACATTTTACCTTCTGAAATAAATCAAGTAGTCTCAGTTGACAAGTCTTTGGTATCACATTCTGCTATTTTCAACTATTTCCAAGCCAATCTTTCGAATGTCATAAACGACTTTTTGGCATTGTTGCGGAAATTCTTTCAAGTAATGAAATCTTTCTTCATTTCTTGACCATTATTTTTCTGGGAAATATCATCACACAAACATTAAATTATACAACTCCATAACAAGCTTGATAAGAATATTATTCAACACAACAGTTATGATACCAAAAAGGAAATAGATGGGAATTACAACCTACAAACATTTTCGCACATGCAATTTACGAACGACTCACACTTGGACAACCTTTCGATACCCTTCTGACATCACTGAATTTCGCTCATGTGGTTGTCTTTTTTTAGTTTCCATCGTTTCTGTCAGTTTCTGAAATTGTCCTCAGTACATAATACTTTGCTTGGGCTATAAAAGTTTATTTTTGGCCCATGAAAATTGTTAAATTGTTATCCAAGTATTATAGTTATCACAAGTATTATCACAAAATTATATCACAAAAATCATTCATCTTGGTGCATACTCATGATTAAATTACGATTCCTATCCAGCTCATTCAAGTAATTTTGTTAGAAACGGGTCCAACAATATTTGTGTGTGGGTTAATGATTCCTACTATTTTTCATGTTTTAGCCATAAACAATCTCAACAATTTTGCATTATCAAAGAAAACATGGTATACACTCCTCCCTTTAGATAGTTAACGTTTCGAAAAAAAACTTTTCCATTATCAAATAGCAAAAATTCACTCGTGAAGTTGAAGACCGTCCCAATCGAAAACACGTGTAATTTCTTTGAGAAATATCCAGTTGTAATATTCGATAATCTACATGAATATTTACATGCAGGATGTGTTTCCACAATTAATATTTTTCTTTTATTATGAGATCAATAATCACGATACTGTTATCTGTCTTTTTTCTTACATCCAGGAGTCTTGAAGTTTCACCTGTATATAAGATTTTCCACAGGAATAGGAATTTATCATCATTGAAACGATTTTGGAGGAAAACGCCCTATCCGGAAGGACAGTTTTTAGAGACATGTCATACCTGATGTTCTTGGTTATTTCAAAAAATAGAAACGAGATATCTTCTGACACAAACTGAACCCGAAAATACGGATGAATAAAAAGATTATATTCATATTATACCTTGTTCCTGTAAAGAAATTCTGCCTTTTGACAAAAATGTAGAAGATGTTATTTGAGAATTTCAAAAACTACACCTCACGATTTGATTTCCACAAACTTTATTTGAAAAAGATATCACAACATGTTTCGCTAGCTTTCTCACTTGAAAAAGCTTCCTCACTTGATAAAGCTGCTGTGCTAGCGAAACATGTTGTGATATATTGTTCAAATAAAGTTTGTAGAGATGAAATCGTGACGTGTAGTTTTTGGAAATACTGTGGATCTTCATCAAGTAACGGCCGAATCAATCAGAAAAATATTATTTGAGAATTTTCTACATTATTCATATCTACTACATGTTGTTACTACATTTCGTCAATAAAATCGATTAATATTATTATTATATAAGTGAAACTTCGAAACACCTAGATGTAAAAGAATACGAACATCGTACACATAAAAAGAGGAGACTGATAACGGAATCGGATGAAATGAAATGAGACAAAATATGTTACCCTGAAATTCTCCGCAAAAATGGGAAATCTTAAAGAATCCGCATGTACTCAGTCTTTCACCACATATCAAGTATATTTCAACCAACTCTGTGGAAATGGATCGTATCTGGTTACCATTATCAAGATAAGGGGTTGTAAACATAACCTATAACATATGAACCTTCATTACCGAATATGACATCTGTACACTTAATTTTTTTATTTTTGTCAAAGAAATAATACCTATGTTCGATTGAGGCGCTCAGTTTGTCCTTTGTTACACTTCAGGAAATTCCCTATCGATTCAACTTTATTCATTTTTACACACTGTGCAGGGTCTGGTTGAACACTCAAAGGCAAGACGACATCATTTCAATAACCATTTTATAATGTTCAGAATAATTTTTTTCACATCCAGCCACAGAAATCGGTCTTGCACGAAGCAATGCTGCCACCCATTTTTTCGAACTTTGTATTGTTATAAAAACAATTCTTTAAATGATAAAAACAATTTAGTTCTTATGTAGTCGCCTCCTGCTTGGGAGACCTTTTGGTTTTTTTTCACTTATACATCCCCCTTTACGTGGTTATGCGAACCAATCCGGCCTGGATACCGGCGGATACTGACACATTTCCGGACGTTATCAGCACGTCCGTCCTCTACCACGGCCATCTCGGAACTCCCAGGAGAAACTGTTGAAAAACGAATCATTTTGAATGCGACAAATTGGACAGTTCTCTTCAGTATCTTATCGAAAAATTACATCATCATGCTGACAGAGAAAGATAGGGGGGATAAAGAGAATGAAAACAAGTCATGATTGCAAGTATTACACATTTTACTATATTCCAGGTGTACGAGTATATATGATATTATTCAGCTTCAGACGAAAACCATAAAATCATGAACATTTATGCGCCGCTTTCAATAGTTTTGTTCTCACTACAACCTACATTCACTAGTGACACTTTTATTTTCAGGCTACTCGTTCTCAAGCGTTGAAGCATTGTTCGGATATGTTTATGCAACTCGCCATTATTCGTAATGCGGAAGAAAATCGGGCATTATATGAAGTGATGAAAGAAAAAGGTGAGTGATCTAGTCATTCTGGGGCGCTGAGCCCATATTGGAATGTAAAATTATGTGCTTATGTTTATATGAATTGTCACAAATCAGTTTCAAGAGCAGAGCCATACTCTACTTCACTTGACGATAAATGAAAATTCACTTCATCCATATTTTAACGTAATATAGAAATGTTCAGCTTCAATATTTCATTTCTGAGCGGTGAATTGGCGCAGTGTTGATGCGCCCGGCTCATGAGTGGAAGATGATGAGTTCGATCCCAACCTCGACCAATTATTTTTCTCGAGAGAATGTATCAAGTTGAAGCTGGGATGATTCTTCAACGTTACATGGCTGAAAGACTGCGAATAGTCATGATGCTCCATATGTGGCTCGGGGAATTGTTAACATTACTTACCCAGGACACCAGGCTAATGACCAATGTAGTCGGATGCCGATGACATCAAGAAAAAAATCATTTCTGAAACTTTTTTGAATATGCATTCACGTAACTCCACTGATAGAGTTACAACTACGAATAACCTCGAAATTACAAACTATATTGAAAGGATGCTTGATTGTCACGGTTGAGTAATGTTCAAGATGCACAGAAACCCCGGTGTTTTTACCGATTCGCTTTTGTTTTGCCGAAAAATTTGGACGTGAAAAATGATAAAAACCTAACTTTGTACATATGTTGATAGATCGTGCAAGAATTCAAATCTGTCGCTCGTAATTTGTTCAGATCTTCAATTTTTGAATCATGATGCGAAAAACATCTATCACTAGATATCAAATACATTCAAAATTGAAGTACCAACTTGATTATCAAACAGTGTCACTTGAGGTGTAGTCAGCACCTCTGTGAATGTGAGGAATACTTGTCGTATGATAATCTTAGCCAATGTCACATGTCCTACATGGGTTGAAAAGTATCGGATCCAACACATAGATAGCGCCAGTCACTGCTTTCACCGCTTTTTCAGTCAGTATTTACCTTCAAAAGTCATTCGTTAGTGAGTTATTGTGCTATCCATTCAGTCTAGAAATCAGAGAGTTTTTGATGGTGCAGAAACTCATGAAAACCCTTTAGTCAGGGAATCTATGGATTATACTGTAGACGACCCCTCCCGATATAGAAGGCCCCGATACTCTGTCGAATGAGGCCCCTATGTCTTCCGTTTGAAGATGAACAATTTTTTCATCCAATTCACCCCAGCCAGGTAGGGGTACACCGTGAAGGCCGGTACTGATGTCTGAGGACATTCATGCCGCCATACCATCAACACTCACCATCAGTTATGACCCGTTTGTCCTTCTGGCAAACATCTGTCCAAAGGGTAAGGGAGCCAGGCTCCAACATGTTTAAAATCAAGACGACGTGTAGGTTATTGTGCTAAGAGTGACATTACTTTTGTTATTTTCAAAACAATGGATCAAAAGCAATTTCGCCTTTTAATTTTGAACTGCTTCTTGATTGGAAACAATACCGTACAAGCCTAGCAATGGCTTAAAAAGTTTTATAAGGACTCCACTTCATGAGGAACGTTCGTTTGCTGACTCAAAACGTGGTCGTAGAGACACCGATGATAGAGAACGCATTGGACGTCCAAATAAAGCAATAACACCAGAAAACATAAAAAAAATCAACAAACACGTTTCGAATCATCGAAAAAGTGAAGTTGCGTGAGTTAGCTCAAATTGTGAAGTTATCAAAAGAATGTGTTGGCTTTATATTGCATAAGCATTTGACTATATAAAAGCTCTGCTCAAAGTGGGTGCCAGGCGAGCTCATTGTTGACCAAAAACAAGAACGTCTTGATGTTTCTGAGCAGTGTTTGGCCATGTTTAAACATTACGAACCGGAATTTTTACGTCGATATGTGTCAATGGATGAAACGTGAATTCATCACTCCACTCCGGAATCAAAACGATCGTCATCTGAGTGGAAAGCAGCTGGTGAACCTCGTCCAAAGCTCCCGAAAGCACAACAATCAGCTGAAAAGGTTATGGCTTAGGTATTTTGGAATATGCGTGAATTCATCGACTATCTTGAGAAGGGACATATCATCAATGGTGAATATTATATAGCATCATTGGAGCGTTCGAAGGCCGAAATTACAAAGAAATGACCACATATGGTCGTTTATTTCATCAAGACATCGCACCGTGTCACAAATCAATCAAAACAATGGTAAAACTACATAAATTGAACTTCAAATTGCTGTCGCATCCACCGTATGCGCTAGATTTGGCTTTCAGCGACTACTGGCAGACCTCAAAAAATACTCACCGGTAAGAAATTTCGCTCGAATGAGAAGGTTATTGCTGAAACTGAGACCTATTCTGAGGCAAAAGATAAACCAATTCTACAAAAGTTGAATTTAAATGTAGGAGCGGCGCTGGGATAATTGTGTGGCTCTTGATGGAGATTTGTCTCTCTTCTATAAATACGGGAAGTACTCAAGTGACTTGGCACATTTGATTTCACCAATAGCGGTGAATATCAGAAATACGCGACGGACTGTGGCTGCTCATCGTTTTGAGGTTGAACTCAGAACACCTCGAACTCCACTGGAGAACTGCGTTTATGTGGAATGAACTTCATGAGAACGTTTTTCTAAATGAATATAATCTCCAGCGATTCAAATCCAATGTGAATCGCCACTTTCGCACAAGCACCGCTCGTAGAGCGCCTTGAAGATTTTCATGTAGTGCTTGTGTTTTGTCCTTGAAAAAAAATCGTAACACACGATTAGAATAAATATTGGAGATGATTCATTATATCCATTAGCTATATGAAAAATTTTAATTTCATTTCGATTTTTTTAAAACACTGCAGAGAAATATATTCACTGCCTTGGCATATCTTTTCAAATATGTTGTTTGTTTTTCAGAAGTGAATGCCTATTGGACTGCAGGAAATAGAAAACCTAATCGACAATGGGAATGGCTGAATGACGAACCCATAACATACTTCAATTGGAGAAAAGGAGAACCCAATGCTTCCATGAACCTAGGAGTATGTCTTGAAGTTTTTGTTTCTGGAGATAAAGTGGAATGGAATGACCAAAATTGTTCAGACCAACGATTTTTCGTTTGCGAAAAAGAAGATCCTGTTGTGAAAATTGATGTTGAAGGAAAATTATTCATGCCGGATGATTCAGGTTCCAATCAAAGCAAACATAACTGTACTGTAGTTATAAACACAGTGTAAATACTCATAAATAGTACACTGTCAAGTGAACTAATTAAGACTTATTAAATTGATGTTATATCTCGAATAAAGATGATTTTATCACACAGGGTGTCCTACCGTCCTACCGTTCTACTAGTCTAATCAACAAGTTCAAAAACATGAAAAATAGAGATGAAGGTCCTAAAAATATGAGCGGTAGCTCATTAGATTCTGAATCACCTCTAGAAAAATGTTTTCGAAAGATTTTAGTGCAGGTAAAAAATTGCAATTGTTATTAACAAAACAAGATTTTAAAAAAATGTTATTTAGTTTTTCGTCAATAACTCAAAAAATATTAATATTTAGGCAATTTTGAAAAAAGCTCGTTAAAGAGGAGGAAATTTCCGATGAAAAAGTTCCGACTCCCGAAACTCTATCTCCATTATTTATAATTTTAATTTGACTTTGAAAATGTGGTTCCGCGTAACTATTATGGCATGCGCGCGCTGCCGCTAAAGACAGTTTATTTATCAAAAGAAATAATATTTTATAACATAAAATGTCATTTTAAGAATTTGAAAAAATCCTAGTATCTTCTTAACACTTGAATGAATCGAGTCCCGTAGAAAAAAAAGTTTTATCATCATTTTCCAAAAAGTTATTCAACTGTTAACTAACAAATTTTTTCCCAATTTCCGTTGGCATAGATAATGGGATAAAAGGTATAAATAATTGGCCTATAAATTGTAAACTTCGTGGAGCCCTTTAATTTTTCTAGAGGTGATTCCGAATCGAATGAGCTATCGCTCATATTTTTAGGACCTTTATCTCTATTTTTCATGTTTTTGAACTTGTTGATTAGACTATACCGCATACTAACGTTGGTGGTGGTTACACTTCCGTTCATTTTCTGAAAAAATACAAAATCACTTCAGATCTCCTGGCAGATTCGTTATATAATGTTATGATATCTAAGGTATTCAAATATATTCGAGTCTTCAGGAAAAAAAATTATTGAATAGAAATATTCATTATTTAAGTAAAGTTTGATTACTCACTCAATCCTTGGGGATTTCTGGTATTTATGAACTATAACTGAATGAAAATGAATTCTAGTGAAAAATATATGTATTTGATTTTATTGAGCAGTATAAAATGATCTTTATGAAAAATTACATCTCATGAATATTCTAAGTTTGCTGCATATCGTGCTTCCATAAATATTGCTACAAAATAAATACTAGAACCTTGAACCGGGAAAGGCGATAGTATAAAGATAATTTTAATTTATTTATGGTTATCTACTTTTCCGTATATTCAACAATACTCGTCAGATATGCTGGCTTTCAGTCAGTATTATCCAAATCAACAGTTCAATATCTGTAAGTGAAATGTAGCATTCAATCGACACAGTTTCCAAAATTTCAATTAATCTGAATCAACATTACAGCAAAATTGTGTTATAATTAAGTATATAACTCTGTAACAGTTTTAATTTTGTAGGTGTTTTAAAATTACTTCCAAAATACAAATTGATTATATTAGATGAGCCGTGAACACAATACAGCTGTAGGCAATAAGAGTGTCTTATAAATTGGTCATGCGTGTTTTTTATAGAGGTATAGAACTTTAAGTTGCAATAAAACAACGATGGATTATTCGATTGACATGAATTTTATTTATCCGAAAGATAATCTTGTGGCATTACATTTTAAATATGATTTCTGGCACATGACCGCCACGGCTGGCGCGGATGTAGTCCAATCTGGACGTCCAATTTTCGATGATTTTTTTCAACATTTGTGGCCGTTTATCGGCAATAACACGGCGAATGTTGTCTTTCAAATGGTCAAGCGTTTGTGGCTTATCCGCATAGACCAATGACTTTACATAGCCCCACAGAAAGTAGTCTAGCGGTGTTGAATCACAAGATCTTGGAGGCCAATTCACAGGTCCAAAACGTGAAATTAGGCGGATTTCAATAAATCTATTGTGGCACGAGCTGTGTGGCATGTTGCACCGTCTTGTTGAAACCACATCTCCTGGACATCATGGCTATTCAATTCAGGAATGGAAAAGTTAGTAATCATGGCTCTATACCGATCACCATTGACTGTAACGTTCTGGCCACCATCGTTTTTGAAAAAGTACGGACCAATGATTCCACCAGCCCATAAAGCGCACCAAACAGTCAGTTTTTGTGGATGTAACGGTGTTTTGATATACACTTGAGGATTACCTTTACTCCAAATGCGACAGTTTTGTTTGTTGACGTAACCATTCAACCAGAAGTGCGCTTCATCGCTAAACAAAATTTGCTTATGAAAATTGGGAACAACGGTAATCTCGTTTTGGGCCCATTCGACGAATCTACGCCTTACTTGATGATCGTTTGGCTTCAATTCTTGCACAAGTTGGATTTTGTAAGCACGCAAATCAAGATCCTTCCGCAAAATCTTACATAAAGTGGATGGACACAGATCCAATTCCTGTGCTCGATGGCGGATGTACTCCTCCGGGTCTTCCTCAATGCTACGCTGTACAGCAGCAAGAGCTTTTTCTGTACGCACCGTACGGCGTCTCTGGGGATGCGAGTTATCAATAAGAGTAAACGTGGTGCGAAAACGTTCCATGGTTAATCGAATTAACTGCTCTGATGGACGATTTTGTCGACGATAAAATGGACGTAGTGCGCGATACGTTTTCCGCACAGAACCATTATTTTCGAAATAAAATTGCACTATTTGCAAGCGTTGTTCAGGCGTGAGTCTATTCATGATGAATTGCCAAACCAAACTAAGAATAAATCACTTTGACAGCTGTTAAATCGGTCGCCATCTTGAAAAGTAATGCCAACTTAAAGTTCTATACCTCTATAAAAAACACCCATTAGAAGCGTTTATAAAATAAAATTAAAAAAGTTAATGAATAATCAAGAAATTATCACATAAACTAACTAACTTAATAAACATATATTCATATAAAAGTAATCTGTATTGTAACAGTTTCATTCCTTTTCTGCGAGGTTTGCATGATCTTTATGAAACTATTTCGAACTTATTTCATAACTGCTTCCTGTAGCTCTGATGAAATTATTGTCACTTTAATAATAATCCCCAAACAATGAAATAACTTTCATGAAATTCAAATTAATTCCGCGAATATATAGTTGCTGTCGCCAAGAATAAAATGCAGCATTTAGGAAGAACCAGCTTACATTGATTTTATAGGTCGTGTAATGAAGTTTGATTTGTCGAATTCATTTGATTAGTATCCCATTAGCTACATAAAAAAATAACAATAGAGGTTCGTTCAGAATGAGACCCACGTAACCTAGTACTCCAATTTTTTTCTTGCTGAAAACGGATCAAAATCTGTCGACTTAAGTGGAGCATCACGTATATATACCCTCAAATCACTAGCTCAAAACACCTTCGAAATTTAGCCTTTATAATCGATGGAAGAAGCTTGTCAGCCAAAACATCACGATAGATAATATTTGTCCAAACTATCGTGAGAAATCCTATTTTCATACTTTTATAGAAATCTATTGTTTTAAAAGTAGTCCGACTCTGCCGCAATACCATCACTCCTTGAAGTGTTTCTTAGCAGTTTAATAGGGGTAACATAGTAGCTAGAATACTTTAAAATGTTTGCTATTGATACCAAACCATTTCATAGAATGACGCCATTTCAAAATGATATCAATTCAGAATACTGACATTAGATGAGTTGAAAATATGAAATATCTCATATCTAGGATCCCTTAAATTCCTGAGAGGAAACCTGCAAATCAGGTACAGCAGAGCATATTTGGATACATCAACATAACATAGGGTGGTCCCAAGCTGAGATCATACACAGAGAGGAACATTGGTTCAGGAGGAAATTCAAAGAGGCTGCATAATTGTTGTCTAACAATCTATTCAGCCAAGCTAGCGTAGAGATACGCAACATATGGAAACCCATAATCAAGCGAAAAATGGTCAACTCCCGCCAAACGGTCATGTCCCACTAAACCGGTGAAGCTGAAAACGGAAAGTGGGGATAACTGAAAGTACTCAAATGACCCATAAATAGTGATCTCTCAGAGGAATTAGAGCAGTCATGACCCGAAGACTATTGTGGATACTAACAATCGAAACGTCGTAATTTGGCTGGGAATCTCTTAACTTTTTATTTTTGTTTTTTTGTTCAATTGTTCTATTGTTCTATTCTCACTTGTATTTTATTTCACTATCATTTCGTTTCACGTTTTTTTGCTTAATATAATTGTTATTTTCAGCTATTCATTTTCAATTCTTCTTTTTTTATTAGTTCATTCAGGGATTTCATATCATTTTATATAATATCAGTCAATGGAAGTCTTAACTAATGAAATTCGTCATAAAACATCGTCAATTACCTTAAAACAAACTGAGTTAAGTTTGCGACTGGAAAATTAGTACGTCGTCAGAGTGAATTTTTATATAATTAATAATTTTGTCCAAAAACATCAATAAACGAGTGGCGCGCTTGAATTTTGCTGATAATATGTTATATATGTGTTTGTCAATAAAATTTAATTCGAAGTGACAATAATAATCTTTGAAGCACAAACAATATCTTCAACAGGTTTATAAGTACAAAAGTGAAATTATTAAAATTGTTTCAACCTCCCTATTTATTAGTTTTCAGTAGGTGGCATATCTGTTACACTTTCCTAGTGTCCGAAACAAAATTACTTATTGCGCCTTCAAAAAAACGTTTTGAACACTTTTTTCTTTTATCGTTATCGGCTTAGGCTGCATTATAAAATTGCTTTCCAATTATTTTGTAAACATATTCACAAAACTATTTTTATAGTAACTGCCTTGATGTTTATGGAACTGTCTTGTAGTATTTGTAAATGGCCTTACAAATATTTTGTAAAACGGTGGTAACTTCCTGCTTATAGCTGTTTTATAAACACATTGAAAACATTCCTGGAAGAAATACAATTTTATAATTTGTTTCTTCGAATCGTTTTCGCAGCTATTATAAAATAAGAAATTGCTAGTTGGAATTGAGTTATATAGATAAAATTTTTGGAATCTTGAGATAAAATGACTGTATATTCAAAGAAAGGAAGGGTTTTGAGTTTCTA